CAAAGGAAAATGAATCATTTATAGTAAATGAGCTATAGTACTGCAACACAGGTTGTAGCACTTTAGTAAGCCATTTGGCCACCTTATGTTGTGATATTATTGATAATATGGGTCTTAAAGGTATCCCCTTCTTATGGATTTTTGGAACATCATAAAGGCGGGGTCTAATAGAGCCAGAAAGGGAGCGAACCACGCGGGAGATTGGTCCGGAAGGAGAGTGTCCGCGCAACCATCCCTACACATCATCCTCGCCAGAGCGGCGGCGCTTGGGAAGCTTGTGCGGATTTCGGTCTCCTGCGAAGGACTACCGTTTTCGTCGAAAACGACGGGGACGAGCGGCGAGCGAAGGAACGAACGAACGGCACCTTGCATGCGCGCACAAAACACGGCGCAGAAGCGATAATTCTTGGCCTTAGGTGCCGTTTAGCGCCATCTGCGTAATTTTGGCGGCTCGCAACGCTAACCGACCAAAATCGAGCTTTCCTCAGAAGGAGAAAGAATCCCAATTTTAACCCACTTCAATAGTTGTTTCTGGAATTTTATTTCTATTGAAGTGGCTGCATCACATTTTTCAACAGGGCTTAATTTTATAAATTTTGATTTATCATTTCATATTGATAAAATTTTTTTTTTTTTTTTTTTTTTTTTTAGCGTTTCACCCCAAGCAAGGCGGGAAGCCACTGGCACGCAAGGGGTTACAAAGAGTTGGAGCGAGAGCGAATAGGATAGATGAAAGGATGAAGAGAAGGATAGGGGATAGATCAAGGCATCTGGACTGGAGACATCGATTGACATTACATTTGAATAATTAGAGATTATAGCTATCAGGGAAACAAGAAAAGGAGTGGGAGTTCCACAGGCGAGAGGTGTGAGACATGAAGCTATTGGAGAAGAAGACATTTAACAGTTTCGACAGTGAAAGGGTGAGAGCGAGATGCCAGCCTAGTTGAACGCTTAAATTCATGAAATTTGCGAACCAGCGAAAGCAGCTCATCGGAGCAGTTACCATGAAAGTATTTGTAAAAAAGACAGAGGGAGGCGACGGCACGGCTGTGAGAGATCGACTGCAGACGAGATGCCAGATCAGTTTTAGCGAAAACCCGAAACCTGAAGTACACTCCCTCGGACATTTTGACCAATACATACGAGTCTTCCATCGCAGAACACCTTATAAATAGCCATAATTGTGCTGTTAGTTTTAGTGCAGACGCTTTTACCATCCTTAGCAAGTCCCACTCAAATTACCACCTAAAAGTGTTGGAGGCCATCTATATTCTATCATTAAAGCCTTCTCTATGTAAACAGAAGGATTTTGTATTAATTAACTTTTGTACTAATTACCATTTAATTTTTTTTCTTCTCTCCCCCCAATACACTTTGTCCATTGTTCTTTTTTTCTATAATTTACTTTATTTACCTCTGTTGAGCGAGGTACGAAACCGGTTAGCTAGCCCGTTTTTCTTTTTTACTTTTTATTATCATGAGTGGTAATAAGAAAAGTAATTTTTGTCTATTCATGGCAGTGATAAAATTTTGTACCACGAAACATTATATATGTATGTATGAGAAAGAGAAATATATATATATATATATATATATATATAGAGAGAGAGAGAGAGAGATAGAAAGGAAGAGATATAGAAAAAGAAAGGAAACCTTCAATATCAGTAAGGAGATAATTATGTGTCCGTTGAAACTTGTCCGAATCTAATAAAGACTCCGCTGTTGATAATTAACATATTGATAGGATTCATTTCGAGCATGACCTTTTTTTTTTATTAAAATTCACGTAATATTTCAGTGAAATTTTAATTTTCTCCATGTATGGATTTTTTGCTTTTTTGACCGTCGCCTTTCTTTATATGTTAGTTTGTTTCAGAAAAAAAGGCTTCCTTTTAATGAAAATATTTGAAAAAAAAAAAATCACAAATATTCTAGGATTCTGGATAATTTCGGCTTTAACTTTACATCCCGCGATAATTTAAGACGAGATTTCAGGAAAGTCCCCGAAAGGTCTCGCAGTGACCGAATAATAATTAATAATAACATTTAAAACGCGTAAACCATAAAATGGTCACCATTTTCTAAAATTGTGGTAACTAAATTTTGCATCCATTGAAGTAGCGTATAGCGATGTTTGTACAAGGCTGTTTGTAAGAGGAAAGTCCCCTTGGAAGCAAAAGAAAAAAAAATGAGTGATTTCCTTCCTCCTGGCCGACCTCGTTATTAACGTGCGGTGAGGATCGTTTTGATAATTCTTCCTTTTTAACTCCTGTTACATACCCTTCCGGTAGGATTCAGAAATTCTTTACTGAGAGACGTGCTAGAAACAAACATAATTCGACGTGTGTCGAACCCATTCACACCGTTACCCTACAACCTTTTCTTTACCCGACACCATATTTTTGCTGGTATTTTTTTTTTTTGTATATACTTCTAGGGAATCATTCAGCTACACAACGACTGTACCACAAATTGCCTTGGTGTTAATAGCTCACCCATCACCCACTACCGCTAGTTCTCTCCTCCCTCTCATAGTCGCAATTCCTTTCCCTAACCCCGCCACCGTTTTCTTGGTCCCCCGTGGTGGCTTCCTACAAGCAGAAAACATAGATGGACGCTTTAGACATGTTCGCTTTTACATCATCCTTTTTTTGTTCATCCAAGTCTCTACATCTGTGATTAATTTCCAATCTTCATATTTTTTCTTCACCTTTAGGGTTGGGGTGGGGCAGGAGTTGCATCTGGAACCCGGTGAAGGACGTTCCTTTCTAGGTATAGTGTGTTTATACATGTCTACGTTGGAACCAAAGGAACAGATTTTCTTTATTATGAAGATGGCATCAATAAACAGATTGCTCTGTCAGCGGGGCTTAAACTACACAGACTGCATTCCCTACAGAGGGGTAACTCCCTTTAGGGGTTACCTTCAGGGTAAATACATGCTGACTCTAGTATAAACCAGACCATTGCCAACTATTTCAGTGTAGTGTAAACCGGACCTGTGTCTAATTTTATGACTATCGTGTAAACCGGAAGTATGTCAACCTTTTTAAATCTAGTGTAAACCGAAACCACATCAATTGAGGACTTCCAATAACAGCAACAATTAAAATGGATAGCACATGTAACTCGTAAAGAAAATAATGACATAATAAAGATGTTGAAGTTCCTATGTTTTTCTTGAAAACCAAACCTATGTAGTTTTGTAAACCGAACTTATGTTTACCCTTTTTTGACTCTCGTGTAAATAGAAACCTCATTATATGAGGACTACCAACAGCAACAACTTAAATGGATAGCATATGTAACTCGAAAAGAAAATGATGATGTAAATATCTGTCTATGTCTCTGAGATGAGGTATTATCATTACTTGCATTATTTCATTATTCCGACTGTTATCATTTTCATTGCCATATTCACAATTCGGCCATTGTACGCTCCCGCCTTCTTCAGGTGATTGAAATTTCAAACCGAACACTTTATTTCGTCCACTGAGGTAGATTGTTCTAGTTCCACATGCCACGCCTCTTCCAGGTGTCTCGGTTATTTCCCTTTAACTCAAGTCACCACGTTTTGGTTCACTACTGTTGTGGTCTGGTATTGAACTCACAAATCTAGCCACTGAATCTAACCAAAGTCTTTATCCACTGGGCCAATGTGTCCTTGAGGAAGAGGCTTGGCACGTGGAACTAGAATAATCAACCCACCCCCGGAGGACGCAATAAAGGGTCAGGTTCGAAATTCCAATCACCTGATGAAGGCCGAAGCGTACAAAGGATCCCCAATCAATACTGGAAAGAGTGATAAGAGCTACTGAACTTGAGAAACTTAATAGAAAAAAAATTATAAATTTCAACCGAAAGTCGCAGTTAACAAATACCGTATGTTTCCTTATAAGGTAACAGCTGATCTTACTATTAGTGTTTCTCATGAGAATGTTTTGTCTTCTTTTTCTTCATGCGAACCATTCATTTTGTAGCTATATTTTACCTGCTACTTTACCATCTTAAATTTCGAAACTTTTCCTATTCAAATTCATCACTAATTACTATGCATCTAAAGATACCATCTGATTTCGGAAGAAGATTTAATATAGTTTCTTTGTTCTTTGCTGTATTTTTACATGGGCGTCCACTTCTTTCAGGAATGGTTGACTCCTCAACAATATCATTATTAACACAGCTATTTTTTTAACTGGGCCCCCATCAGCAAGGTTGTACGTTGCTTTTATCAAAACCGGTCACCTTGTCCCACACATATTGCTTGTGTCTGCTATACCTTTATCGGATTGGGTATCTTGATGGGTGGATTGGAATATTTGTATATCATGAACTCATTGTTGAATTGCTCCCCACCCTCACTCAGTCATAATAAAAACTACTATCAAATATCCATGTGCTAAACTATTCCTCATCTAATATCTGTGTGCTAAGCTACTGGCCCACTAGTATCCGTGTGTGTGTGTGTGTGTGTGTGTGTATATATATATATATATATATATATATATATATAAAATGAGAGAGAGAGGGGGGTGTAAAAGTAGACATACAGTAATAAAAAAAAACAAAACGTTTTCATAAGACGTATTGATTGCACACGTTCTCTATTCTGTCTTCCAGTACATTTTTTTAAGCATTTCACCCCAAGCAAGGCGGGATGCCAGTAGCACGCAAGGGGTTACAGAAAGTGGGAGCAAGAGTAAAGAGGCGTGAAAGAGGAAAGGATGAAGAGAAGGATGGGGAATTAGATCAAGCCATTTGGAGATGTCTATTGACATTGCATTTGAATAATTGAAAATTATAGCTATCAGTGAAGCAAATAAGAGGAAGGTAGTTCCACAGACGGGAAGTGCGAGACATGAAGCTATTGGAGTAGAAAAGACGGCTACATTTAACTGTTTCCACAGTGAAAGGGTAGGATCGAGATGCTAGCCTAGTAGCACGTTTAAATTCGTGCTCTTTGGGAACCAGCGAAAGTAGCCTGTCGGAACAGTTACCGTGAAAATATTTGCTGAAAAGACAGAGGGAAGCGACGACACATCTGTGAGAGCGACTGTAGACGAGATGCCAGATCAGGGCTAATTTCATTGCATATCCGTCTTTCGCATTTGCACCCTCCTCCATTGAATTACCAGCCATCGTTAAATTATCTGTTTATCTGCAAAACATTATTTATTAAAAAATAATAATTATAATAAATGTATTAAAAAAAATAATAGGAAAATAAATAAAAAAATATTAAAAATGTATTAAATGAACCATAGATCCACTATTATATTACTGGTAATACAGCTATAATACTTACTGTATACTTATTTCTTATTTTGGCAGCCCCCCTCCCATATATATATATATATATAAATAAAAGGAAGTGGTTATAGTACTTCCAACGAGAGAAAAGTGTGTATATTAAAAAGAAGAGAGAAACCGCAAACGTTTTTGATTGTAATGTGGATTTTTTAAAAAAATATTATACTTTATTTTCCATAATTTTGCTACACGTGTTTCCGGTCTGGTGACCGTCATCAGTCAAAGGGTGGAGATTTCCATATATTACTAAAAATAATTTAGTTTTTTCTTTGTTTTTCGATGTCAAATATTCTCGATATGATCCAAATGTCTTTCTTATGAGAAGTGTGTGTACAACAAACCAACGTATCATTAAAAATTGTAATTACGACTCTAGCAGAAAAACTGACAAAATAGGAAATACAAAAATAATAAAAAAAAAAAAACTATCCAAAGACAGTGATCAATGTTTGCACAGCCAAGACACGGGAACTCGCTAAGTAGCGAAACCGATCAAGAAAGAGACAAAGTGCAGATTACTACTCGAGTTTCCCGTTACAACACCTGACTATATATATATATATATATATATATATATATATATATATATAAAGTTTAGCCAGCAAATAAAAAACAATCGTCAGTATAGTGGGAATATCTTGATCGTCACTGGAATATCATGGTGATTTTTTTTCTAAGCATATCTTAGATGTGAGATAATAGAAAATCCTAGATAGATAGATGTAAAATCATCTATGTATACATATATATATATATACACACACACACACACACACATATATATAAATAAATGTGTGTGTGTGTAATCCGGAGAAATAATTGTTATATAAACATACTTAAATACTGAGGTAAATTTATATGATAAGACTGCTATCAACGTGCATCGTGCGTGTGGTATAATTTGAGTGTTTCTTTCTCTGAAGTGCGTGCCAAATCTAAAAATAAAACTCTCTCTCTCACTCACGCACGCGCGCATATATGCGAGTATAAAACTCCTTAGCCGTCTCCCACTGTACGCCCCAACCACCGTTCTTCGTTTGCCAATTTCCCGCGGTCTCTTCTTTCAGATAACAACGAAAGCCGCATTTGTTCTCGACTATGCTTTCTCATTCCTCCAGTATCATTCCTACCACATCCACATTTTGCCCTAAATATGCACCCCCCCCATAAATACCCCCTCAGTGCTTCCTTAAAAACCAAATCTTATCTCCTCTTGGAAAATCCCGATGGCATTTCAGATCTTTATTTACTTCACTTAAAAGTGCTGATTTTCCACCAAGAACTCGCTTTCGGTGGCCCTATGCCAGACTAAATTTACTTTCATATCGGCTTCAAGAATTTGATCTCCATTTTTATTTCCTTCTTTCTCTCCCTTCTCCTATTTTTTCTTTTCACTCTCTGTCACTTCCTTTCTTTTCTTCTGGCTTTGTTTCTCTCTCTCTCTCTCTCTGATTGCTCTTTCCTTGTCCTTTTATCTCCTCCTCTATTTCTTCTCTATCTCTCTCATTCTCTTTCAATCATTTCTTTCTAACTCTCTTTACTTCTTTTTTTTTTTTTACCTTTTCCAGTTTCCTTTTTTTTTTGTTATCGTTGTCATCTTTTCCTTTGACTTCTACTTTTTTTTTTTTACTTCTTTGTTTCTATTATTTACACTATTTATATTCGGACTATTGTCCTCATCTTTGTTGTTGTTGTTGTCACAACGTTTCGGTCGTTGTGCCTTCCGGTTTTCCTCAGGTTTATATCGATCTATTTGAATTGTTTGATTTTCATTGGTCAGTCATGTATCACATACAGTCGACTCTTTAAACATGAAACATTTAGTACAAACTACAAGTAGAATAAAAACATTGGTTTGTGAAATTTGATGACAGTGATTGTGAGTTCAATCCTTGGGTCGGGCAGTGAGTACTTGCACTCCATTAAAACAGACAAGCAATAACTGAACAGTACTAAATAAAACTAAGAACTAGATGAGATATCCCTAGACATGAGCAGTAGAACAAGAACAGTTTATCCCTATAAATTAAATAAAGGGTTTAGGTGAGAATTCCTTGTAGGTTACCTAGGACGATATACACCTAAAGAAGGCTGCAGGGCGCAACGGCCGAAATGTCATGATAACAACAACAAAGATGAGGAAAATAGCCTGAATATAAATAGTGTAGATAATGGTAATTTCTCATCCCAGAAAATTTAAAGATTGTGTCTAAATGGTGGCAGATCTTCTAATTCTCTGAGAATCTCCATGTTGCAGAAATTAAATAGAAAAGCCAGAGAGAAAAATGAATTCTTGTCTGACTTCTTCTTCTGCTTTTGTATATTCACTGGAAAGATCTGTTTCCAGTAGAGGTTGACATTCAAACTAATGTCTTCATCTATTTAATCCATAGCTAGAGGAAAAAGAAATAGATTTAGGCCTTTTTTCCCCAAAGGTGTTAATTTGAAGTGAACACAACAGACTAGGTGTGCACTAGAATTCGGCCCGTTGACTCTACTTAAACTAGCTGTGGATTCGCTATTCACAATTTTTGTATATAGATATTTCTTCAGTTTATCATAGTTTGGCACAAGGTCTAATATTAGAGCACCAAGTGGCAAACAAGGTCCCTGAAAATCACTTTAAAACCAGTTTGCTAAGTATCATTTAATGACAAGTAATCTAAGATATATATACTTAGTCTGGCAATAGGTTAGAACACTGGAGCGTCCTATGAGTGTCAAGCTAGCTAATAACTTGTGAGTTTTATCGTCATCTCTTATCGATATATGACCTGAGATATTTGTAAAAATGGCGTCTGTCACAAGGGCGAAATAATGGGACACTCAGTGGGGATCATAGTTACAGTGAATTGCATGTGATACACTCAATGGTAAGTACGATATTTAGGCCTGTATTTGTGCTAAACATATTAGCAAATAATTTGCGAGAATGCATTGCTCTACGGCTGGATACCACTTGTGTTAGGCCTTTTACTGGTGTTGTCATTTTCTTGAAATTTACTGATATTTCCAAACGGGATGGACGCCATTCGATGTCTAGTATGACTATCACTGGACATCATTGTAAGACTCAGTTGTTCTTTGAAAAATATGACCTTTCAAACTGACAAACATTTTAAGACTTCTGCCACAAAGTTGCCAGATATATATGGCTGGCAACTCGTATCTGAGGATGCCCGTCTATCCAATCCGTGTTGCAGACACTTGTTTATTGTTAAAAATTAAAATTAAAAAAAAAAATGAAAATCTAAAAATATTAAGACATTATTTTATTTATTTGCTTATCGCCCACAGAACCAACCTGTGGTTTATACTGCAACTATGCTAAGCAGACCTTAGTTACAGTTTCTGGGAAAGTGAATGCATTTTCTTCCGAGTGAATCCTTTGATCTTCTGATCATATTGCTATATATATATATATATATATATATATATATAATTTATTTATTTATTTAGGCAGCAATTTTCTCCACAAATATCCTTAAATGCCTATAATTTATAACAGAAGCTATTGGTTTATACCAACGGCTTCCCATACTTAATACTTCTCGTTTTTCGCTCTCGTGTGGTCATGTGTGACGTCACGAGCTGCGACTCGATTTTCCCTTCCGCGTCTCGTATATACGGGTTTGTCGTTACTTGGAAATTTTTAATGCAGCAAGGACGGACTATCATTGTTGTTTCATCCGTGTGTTGTCTGATTTATTGAAATTCTTATCTTTGATAATGGCTTATGTAAGCCGAAAGCTTAGATTGGATTTAAACATGTCAATATGGTGATTTCCTTTCGTCCTTCAATGATAATGTTATTAAGCTTATCAGACAATATGAAAGGAACTTAAAATAGACAAAACTTGTCTATATTATTTAATGAAACATGCATTTATATATATATATATATATATATATATATATATATGTGTGTGTGTGATATGAGATAACGATATATATTTTTATATATATCAAGAAACAGTATTGAAGAAATTGGTAAGACAAAATGGAAAATGTTTACTTGTGACGCGTTTCATCCGTTAGGACGTCATCGGACTGGGTTTTGATGACGTTGTTGTGACTGCTCATGCGCATAAACAGAAGACCCTGGTAGTTTCAAAATAAGTTTTAAATATTTTTTTTTTGCAGTCTAGCCAAATTCATCCATATTATTTTTTATTTTTCTTTCCATCATCTTAAATATCCTACATTGTGATAACAGAAAATCTACCAAGACTGGTGAAACGTTGTAAGAATTTACTATGACTGAATTAGCGATTAAAACACTTTCTAGATATTTTCATCTTAGTGAATTATTTTATCTTTTATTTAGACTCGCATTTTTGATGTCAAAAATGTGGTCAGTTTCGAACAACCAATGCATTTGTGTGTTGTTTTTTTTTTTCAATCTCTCTTGTTTTCATATAGTCTTTTGATTAAACTTCGTGAGGTTTCTCCAATATATTCCTTCTGGCAATTCTGGCAGTCGATAGAGTAAATTCTTCCTTTAGGTTTCGGCTTGTTCTTTTGTATTGATTAAATCTGTTATTGTTTTAGATGTTGTTGTGACAAATTTTATGTTTAGTTTAGATAAAATCTTTTCTGTTGTAGTTGTGATAGTAGGTAATTTTTTTTTTTTATTCGTTTGGTTTGTCAGGAATATACACAGCCTGTAGAAGGTTGATCTCTGTTAGGCGATCTTGCCCAAGATACACCACTTCTACCGCGGCTGCAGTACATGCGGTGCCCCCTACAACCCTGATCAGTTACGGATCTCGTACGGGGCTAGTGAGTTACTGGTGATCCTGTGGCAGTCGTTGACTCTTCATTCGTGGTGCCAATACCCGTTCATGTAGCTATATTCCAAGCCTTGATAGATTTCAAAATTGTTTGCCCTTTCTTGTGGAGGAAGACTTAACATTTTCCCAAAGATTCAACATCGATAGCCTGTCGTTACTCTATTGATATTTGGATGGTAAATGTTTAAATTAACTCCATTCTGTAGTATCACCAGTTCAGACTTTTACAGCTTGTGCACGCCATACCACTTCGACAAAGTCGAATCAGCCTCATTTCCTCCATATTCCAAATGTAAAGAAAACGTTCATCTGAGACACTTTCTTCCCAAGAACTGCTAATTTGGAATGGAGATTCTCTAAACACTACAATCTTAATATCTTCAAGTCAAGTGCCAATCAATATCTGTCCTATTTATACTAAATTTCACTCAATACAAGACTCAAGAGCAACTCAAGGTAGGACATCAATAAATGAGGTTGTATATGAATGTAAGAAGTGATACAAAGTGAAGATTATGAGAAAAAAATCATCTTAACATTTATTCATCACATGTCTCACTACCTTTCACCATCTTTGAGGCAGCTTTTTTCCCAAGAAATTAATACTTTATGAAATAGACTACAGCGTAGATGCTCTTCATGCACAATATAATCTTCAATTCAATGGTCAATCGTTATCTATCCTCCTTATCCTCATAATCTTTACTTTCTACCACCTCCTCTTTCATTAATGTCACATACCTCATTTATCATTCAATTTCGATTTGTAAACACCTACCTTGAATGGCTCTCCAGCCTTTTAGTCGGCAAAAATCAATATAAGAAGTCAATAATATATGGAATAAAGTTTGTGTACAAGACACTGTCTCAAGGAATTGGAATGAAGAATATATGTTGAGACTTTATTCCAAATTTCTGCAGTTTATTCAATGGCCGGAGACTAGGCCGGCTAAAAATATAGAGATAATTACGTATATACTCGTGTATAAAACTATTTTATGTATACAGTGTAACCCGGATATAAGAGAGATTTTTTCTGGTCCCAAATTAGAGCTTGTGTTAATGTATATAAAATAGACCAAACCCGGATATAAGAGAAACCCGGATATAAGAGACTTCTTCTCCGGTCCCGACAACTCTCTTATATCCGGGTTACACTGTAGTATAACACTTGAATATTTTTGCATGAATTTTAACCCACTCAGAAAAATTATCTGTGTATAGTACGACACTAATTTTTTTGCGTAAAAAAAAATCTGATCATAAAAACTTGTGTATATACGACAACAGCGAGATGTTGTTAAAAATAAACACTCGTTGGAGAACAGATAATACTTCATCTCAGAATTTCAAAACAAACCAAAAGTGGTAGACATTTTCAATTTTTCCTCTTCCTTTTCACCGCCTTCTCACCCAATTTCTCTTCGTACACCTTTGCGGGTAGGGGAAGGGGTCATTCAATCCCTTACCGTCATCTTCCTTTTTCCTTCGACTTATATTAATAAACAATAAAACCAAAAATCACTTCATATGGGGAATAGCCATTATATTATATTACTAGGATTCACTTGGATTATATACCAACGGATTTGTTACTAATATATATATATATATATATATATATATATATATAATGCATGCGCCATCCTTCACTCTTCGTAAACTCACATCTCTACTTAGTGTAGTTTTTCCAGCCAGTATTTCTATTAAATGCCAAAAAACACGTTAGACCCGACCCCCTACGTTTCTTAACGCCAGCCCCATTTTTCCTTATGACTCCTCACCCCTCACTCCCAGACGGCACCTGAAGCGAGATATTTTCGCAATTTATTTTTTTTCGTCTTGGATCCATTTTTTTTCCTTTTTTTACAGTATAGCATCTCTCCCCAGGATGACATGCAAATGTCTTATAGCATTCTTAAAAACACTTGCCTTTATTTTTAACACCCAATCTACAAATTCCACTTCCTCCCTCCGAATCCTAAAACAAATATTCATTGCCATTTCAAAAACCTCCTACAGTGTGTTTTTTCTTCTCTTTTTTTTTATTTTTTTTTTATTTATTTCCAGGGTATAAATAAGAAAATATTAATTTTGATTTCTTTAATGGTTTCAATTCAATAAGTGAACACACACACAATCCCGCTTAAAGATACACATACAAAAGCAATAACGCGCGTAATTAAATGCACAAAACGTACACGAAAATGCATACTTGCATAAAGACATACGTACAGACACTCGAATAGAACACGCATACACATGTGAAGAACGCACAAACACACGGCCTCTCTCTTTCCATCTCTCCCTCTCCCTCTCTCCCTCTCTCCCTCTCTCCATCTCTCTCTCTTTCCATCTCTCCCTCTCTCATGGCCTTACGAGTATATCCAATTGAAACGACGTTTTAATGATTAAATTAATAACTAGAAGCCTTTAGATTAGTTTTGTCGTAATGAATTCTTTAAAAGATTTGAGGTTTGAAGAGAGAACATAGAACGGCCCCCATTTTATATATTTTTGCTATAGATAATTTTGGCCAATATATATATATATATATATTATTGTTACTATTATTATTATTAATAATAATAATAATATTTAAATATATTTTCTTTATCGCGACACAGAAGTTGCATTTCAGATCATAATTATAAAATATATACCAGGTGCTACAGCATAATTGGCCGTTTCATAAAATGTTTAATATCCTAAAAAAAATACGTCAGTAAACTAATTGAGTTTCTTTTTCCCACGTTTTCCGATGTGACGTTTAGCCATCTTCCTACCACTTGTTATAAGATTCACTGAAAAGCCCTTTGAGTTATTCAGCTAGAAAGAGAACAGGTTAAAGTCGTTTTGTGTCAGACTCACTGAACAATGGTGAGAGGAAAAAGATCATTCAGGCCTTCAGTAATGGTACCAACATTCATACTTTGGCTTGCCATCTTCAAAGTTCATTCAAGAACCATCAAGAGAATGGTGAATAAGTTTAAAATAGAGGGAACAGTAGAGAGGAAAACTGGATCAGCAGGTCACAAAAGCAAGAGGGATCATCATTTCAACTTAGAGCTAAAGAGATTTGAAAAGATCCAACTCCATCCATAAGACGTTTGATTCATAAGAGAGGAGTTTCAGCTATGACAGTTCAAAAAGCAGTGGGAAAAGACTTGAAAATGAAATCGTACGTGAAACGTGTGAGGCACGTTGTTACTCCAGAAAGTTAGAAGGTTAGAAAGGGCGAAGATCATCTTGAATAAGTTGGAAAAGGATCTTGGTATAATATACACAGACTTTATTTCACGCATGCGCGTTGTTTTTGATTGTCTCTTGCACAGTGTAATAGGGGCACTTGGGCACCGTTTGTAAGAAAAAGAACAGCGTGATTCAATTCCATTCTCCAGAAATTTGGAAACGGCATGCTGTACTGTTTGGCATTCACGTTGAAAGCTCCAATAAGAACCTTTCAGAGTGCTTGGCTGTCAACCTGAGCACAGTGCAGAGGATTATGAAAGAGTTGGATGAGTCTAATGGTGATTACGAAGGTGTTTGAAGTGATCACCAGTGATAGCGACGTTATGCCTCAATGCATCTTCCCATGTGACCTCGGAGGACTCAAGTGCTTTGAGGAGGTAGTTCTGCCCTGGGTCAAGAGGGTAGCTGCTGAAAGACCATATGTCTGTCAACCGGACTCTGCACCATGCCACACAAGCAGAAGAACCCAGTCATGGCTGTCAGACAATTTCTGCGGCCACATCACCCCTTACATCTAACTGCCCACACTGCAACCCCCTTAATTATTATATGTGGGGCGCAGTTGAGCGAAAGACCAACAAAAATCCTTGTAACACCAAAGATGAACTGAAGGCAAGGATTTTGGCAGCATTGACCAACTTAAACAAGGAGACCGTCCAGGAGAGATGCGGGAGATTCCGAAGTCGACTTGAGGCCGTGGTTGAAGCCAACGGTAATTTTATTGCATAAATTTACTCCTTAGTATTTCAAGATACTTTTGTTTAATTTGGGTAAATATATATGTTAAAATGAGATATTAGTGTTATTTTCAGTTATGTGCCATTCAGACAACAAATTATCCATTGCAACATATATACACCCATGTAAAATCAGAAGAAATAGAGTATAATTTCACTCTCCGTAAACTTTTAATTTAAAAGAGGGCTCAATACAGAGTAGAGCTAAATATTATTTATTTTAAAATATTAAAACAAAAACTCGTTACAAATCACTACACAATTACAATTATGTTTCAACACTACAAATGTGTCTCCTAGGGCGATGTTAAACTAGTGGCGAGTAAACGATTATTTCAGTTTCAGAAAGCAGAATACTTTCTCTTTATTTTCTTGAGGAAAAAAAAAAAAAACAGAATTAAATATAAGCTTGTGGGCTTTAGCGTGATTAACCAATCAAATGTGACCTACGCTAAATTCAAACTCGCCGAAAAAAATTTTTATTATGTAGATCATGACACGAAGTTGTCTGCATATAAATACTAGACAGTTTTCTTATTGACAGATAAAAGTGATTACATTATTTCGTAAGAAGCATATAAGTCTGGCGTTCAACTTTCCTAAGAAGTAAAAGCGAAAGAGGTTGGGAGGTAATTTAACATAATGCTAACTAGTTACATGCTCGGTCAGCTTCCTACATAAAACTTTGTAATTGATAAATAAAAGGCCCCTTTAAGAAAATGATAAATAACTTAACCATTTAAAAAAACATCATAAATACAAAACTACTTTTTCAAATTAATATACAACAGTTAAGTAAAGAGCAGCCATATAAGATGTTAATAATAATAATCTAAACATCAATACAGAGCTTTATTAAATTAAAATTAATCTTCGAAATTGAATAGCAATCCATATAAGGTGCACCGCAGTTCATTTACTGATTATTACTATAAGAAAAAGTATTCTTAAATTGAAAGTTTAAACATATTGTAAGATAAAAGGTAGACTATGCCTACAGTTTACAGTTAATTCACTTTGGTTTAATAAGGAGTTTTTATTAGAAAATTTGAAAATTTCTAAGTCTTCATGTAAGCATAGAAAACAAGATTCTTTTAAAGTAAACGTTCTAGTTTTTGTTTTGTTTCGTTTTTTTAATTTTCCGTTTTGGCTTAGGAGTTTTATTAGCTTCTTTTAAATTCAAAAAATATTTAGAGATTTTTATAAGTACTATTGGTGAAGGATGAGATATGTTGGTAACACCAAGTCTTAAAATAATGCTTAGTACTACCAATATAAAGTTTTTCAACATTCGGATTCTCTCTTGTAGACACAGTAGGTAAACAAGAGAGTTGTTTAAACATCTTGTTAGAAAGCCATATTAGATTTTGTTAGCTGGTTGTTTTTTCTTTAGTGTTATATCAACACCTCTATGGGTTATTTCATGCCGAAATTTAAATATTTTGTATGCAATTTTATTTTATTTTGAAGTGGATAATAATTGTTTGAGTGATACAAGTTATACTAATTAACCCATAGCTAGGGGAAGACGTGGATTCGTACCTTTCCCAACGATATTTGCACGTAAGTGAATATATAAACGACCCGAACTCGGCTCTCCGATTAACAATTCCGTGTCATTATCCATTACACCACCCGCACATCCAATCTTACGACTCCCAAGCGGTCACCCATGTAGCTATTGACCAGGCTCGACGTGACGTGATTGTAAACCGGCAGATTAGAGGTTCGTTTAATGACGATCAAACTCTCCACACTAAAGACCTTGCCTGCGAGTTGGGTTTACTAACCACTGCGTTATGGCGGCACCCCTCTTAATAAATATGTCACTTGGCACCTTTTCAAAAAAAAAAAAAAAAAAAAAAACACAGTTGCCTTAGCAACCTGTATTTGGAGCCTCGTTTTCGTTATCGGGTTATTTATTTATTTATTTATTTTGAGGAAACTGAAATACCGTAATTTCTTTTTTTTTTTTTTTTTTTTTTTTTTTTGTTCATTGCTTCGTCTGGATTTACTATTTGTCTCTTCTTTTTATATGAAACTTTCTGTTTTTATCATTTTTTTTTCTCTATATTCTTTTTATCGTCACTTTTATTCTTTTCTTTTTCCGCTTTTTCTTCTTCCTCTTTTTCTTTTCTTTTTATTCTCTCTTCTTTCTTGTCTCTTTTTCAACTCGTCTTTTGTTTCCATGCGTCGCTTTCTTTCTTCCTACTTTTTTCTTTTCTTCTTCATCCGCTTATCTCTTAGTTCATTTCATTCACTCTTTTCGTTCTTTAACTTGTTTCCTCCGCCTTTCCCTCGTCTTCTCTTTTCATTTGGCTTTGTTCGCCTCGTCTTCTTTTTCATTCAATCGTATCCTTCTCCCGCTTGTCTTTTTTCTTTCACTTTTATCCGTCTTTCGTTTTTTTTCTCTGCACTCTTATCCTTCATACGTTCATCGTCGTCTTTGGCATGTGCTCTTTTTTTCTGCATGTGCTCTTTTTTCCGTTTGTCACCTTTTAACTCGTCTCCTTTTTTTTATCGTTATATTTTTCCACTTTCTCTTTTTCCACTTTCTCTTCTCCTTTTCCTCTTTCGCTTTTTCCTCTTTCTCTTTTCTCTCTTCTCTTTCTATCTTTTTCTTTTCCTTTTCATTTTTCTTTTTCTTCTTTCTCTTCTTACTCCTCATCCTTTTTATTCATCTTTCATTTTTCCGCTTACAGTCTTCTTTGGTTTGTGTCTCTTTTTTAGATCGTTTCTTTCTTTCTCTCTTTCTTTTTTCACTCGTTTTATGCTTCTTTTTTGTCTTCTTTCATTTATATTCTTCTTATTCGTCATCTTCATCCTTTTCTTTTTTTCTTCTTCCTTTATTTTTATCCTTCTTCCTCGCGTCTCTTTTTTTGTCTTTCGTCCTTTTTATCCTCCATTTTATGTTCATCTTCTTCTTTCCAATGTTTCTTCCTTCTTTCGTTTATCTTTTTCTTCTTCGTCTTTTATTTGTAACATTTTTCCGATCATCGCTTTCTTTGGCTTGTGTTAGTCTTTTTTTCACATGTTCCTAACTCCCCCACCCCCTTGTTTTCTTCTTCCACTTGTCTTTTTCTTTTACTTCTTTCCTTCTTCTTCCTTCGCTTAGTCTTCTTCTGTCTCTCTTTCAATATCATCCTATCCATCAATATCACATACCACTACGACTACTGCTATACTCAATTCTTCTTTACCCAATTGCATAAAAATCATTCCTCGTCTTTCTCCTTCAATTTGACACGCTCCTTTTCACTTTCTCTATCCGCCATTTTTATCCCATATCACCTTGAATAATGATAAAAGAAAGGAAGCCCTTATCCCCCAAACGATTTTCAAGTACACGCTATACGAGTGGAAAAAAGCTACAATATTTTCTCTACGGAGACCATGAAGCATATCATTTCATAACTATCTACTTTTACTTACATATATATCGTTTTGCTTACATAGATATCTGATAAAAAAGGAACACTTGCCAAAGCTATGAAGTTTTTCCCCAAATGTACATTTTTATTCGAATAAAATTATTTATTGTACTTGGAACAAAATTTGTTTACCGACTATATATATATATATATATATATATATATATATATATATATATATATATATATATATATATTAATTATCTATTAAGCAGTATTAACTCCTCGCCTGAAGATTGCATTTGTGCATGAAAGTAGTTCTATCGATGAGGGATATACATTAAATAATGTAATTTATAAATTTATAGCTCTGTTAACGTACATTGGTCATTAATCTATTAACACAAGATCAATATATATATATATATATATATATATATATATATATATATTATATGATTTGCATATCATATGGATCGGAATCCGACAGGAAATATATTTTCCTACTTCTTTATTTTATATATAATGGATATTTTTATTTATTAATCCGACTGATTTTAGCATTTAAAAGTTATTTTTACTGGATAACCATATTTGAAAAGGCGCTCCGTTTATTTATTAAACAGTATATCTATATTCAGACCGGTATACGAAAATAAATAAATATACTGTTTACTAAGTAAACGGAGCCTCTACTCAAATAAATGACACACACACACACACATATATATATAACAGCAAAATTTCTAATAATTGGATTAAGCTTTGATTAAGCGTTCTATTTTAGAAATTATTAAAGATATTTTATTGGAATTCTCCGAGGTTTTTATCACACTATTAGACTCTGCTTTGAGCAATAAAAATGTATAATTACTCTCCAAGCTTAACAGAAGAATTGGGATGAAATCGTTCATAAAAGAAAACTACGTTCATCATTAATTAATCATAGCTAAAGATAGGAAGCTCATTAAATTTTAAGGTTGTGCGTTTTTGTACAAAAGAGAATTCTTTTTTACTGGTAGATTTTCCGTCTATGTGGCATGAACTATATTGTTCAATAATTACAGTAATGTCACACTTATTATCCGAAAGTTGCACGTTGGATCAGTTATTTTAATTTCAATTAAAGGTGCAATTATAATTTATAAATTCATGAATCATTCATACAAAAAACAAATAAAATTTAAATTCAAACTCAGCGTTGCGACCGCACGTTCCAAAACAATAACACATTTCTCATAGCATTTTTTCGGATTACATCTCTATTTTCGTTGTCCTCTTATTACCGAGAAGTAAAAACAAGAACAAAATCTATTTCCATACCTGAGGACGTCTGTAGGAACAGACGAAAGCTTGTAAAAACTAAGACTTTATGCAACTGGAATTTATGAACAGGGATCATATCATTCATATACAGGTTCGGGGTTGATGTATCTTATATTGTTTGCGAAGATGTATTCTCGCCATTTAGATCATTAACCTCTATATTTGTTTTTTGTATGAATGATTCATGAATTTATAATTCCAGGATCATATTCCAACTTTTTCAAGATGATCTTCGCCCTCTCTAACCTAACTTTCTGTCCTGGAGTAACAATATGACTTACACGTTTCACGTACGATTTCATTCTCATATTTTTTTTTCACTGCTCTTTAAACTGTCATAGCTGAAACTCCTCTCTCACATGCCAATCGTCTTATGAATTCAATTGGATCTTTTCTAATTTCTCTTTAGCTCTAAGTTGAAATCATCATCCATCTTGTAGTGACCTCCTGATCCAGTTTTCTTCTCTAATGTTCTCTCTTTTTAAAATTATTCACCATTCTCTTGGCGGTTCTTGAATGGAATTTGAAGATGGAAGCCAGAATATGAATATTGGTTTGCAACAATGAAGGAAGGTTCCGTCTCGTTCCATTATAGTCAAGCTGCTGACAGTCTGTCTTTTAGAAACTTCTTGGTATCAACTTTAACTTGATTATTTATCACAAATACTTTATGCGGTAAAACGGAAGGCTTCTTTCTTTTTCTTCTTTAATATACAAAGGATCTTTCTTGAAATTTACGTACCTGATGAAGGTCGAATGTCACAACGGCCGAAATGTTGTAACAATAACAGCTAAGATGAGCACAGTCCAAGTGTACATAGTGACAACACATCATACCAGGATCTGAGATAGAAAAAGACTTGAAGGTGTGGAGAGCCATGATCACCTACGTCATGAAAGACTATGGTGTATATAAGAAAAAAGAAAACTTCAATTCTGAAGAAAAATGAAGATTGTAGTGTTCAGGAAAGCATCCATGTGGGAGTATCCTGCATAAAGTCGCAGTTTTTGAGAAAAAGCTGTGCGAGTGGAAATTCATCCTTACAAATGTAATCGGGAGGAAATGGTGATTCGAGTGTAGAAATAGCATGTCGTGTCCTAGCCGTAAAGGTCTGAACTGGCAGAACTGGTTCTCCATATTTCCCTATATTCTCCATATTTCTTTTCAGACTATCGCATATTTTGATATATCATTGTTCAGGAACTCGTGTAAAAGGATGTTGCCTGGCGTCTCCAAACAGTAAATGTCTGACTGGTGGAACTTAAGAATCTGAACATTTGCCATGGAAATAGCGATATCGTTGCGTATCTTACGAAGTTGCGTCTGTGGCGAAATTGGCTGGAATATGAAAAATATTATCCTCCACAAGGCCGTTTAAAATATTTTAATCTTTATCAAGACTGGAAAGTGACGACCAAACAGCTCCAGACTAAGTATGGCAATAAAATTCCATTTTTTTTGTCTGATTTGACTCTTGTAAAGATAATCTTAACAGCATAAGTTTATTATGTCCGTCTGTAAAAAATACTTGTTGCGGTTCTAGTTAGAATCTCCTCACTATAGACGTTAATAAATTTCGGTGAGATAATGGATCATTGTCCTACCCCCCTCCTATTTTAAATTTATTATCTCTCTGTATGTGAGGTTTGTTCCCAGTAGATGTGCCGGATTATTCGAATAGCTTTCTCATGTAAATCAAGCTTTTCTAATTTATCAAGTAGCTCTTCATGTCGTATTCTGTCAAATGCCTTTGTGTAATCGAGGAAATGAGTTGGACATTATCCAAACTAAAAATATCTGAATTTCATAATCTTGGAATCTTGTTCTTGATTGATTTAGCAGAATGTATAATATCATTACCGTTTTGGTATATTGCCAAACTGGAATAATAATGTTAGTGAATGAAGGAAATGAAAAGCTTAAAATTTAATTCTTGTATTAACGAGCAATGACACTTTCAGGGCGGATCATTAGTGGACCAACATCTTAACTGATTAGACATTTTTACGCCATTATCTCACAACCTCTAAACGTGTTTGTTGTCAGCAATCTCCTTTGAATTATCTATTTGATCTTCTGGGGCATCTGTGGGGCTCAACTAGAAGCAAGATTCATGTCATTTTGAAAGAAACGCTCGTTTTGTTCTTGTACAGATCGAAACATTTATTCGAATTAGCAATTTCCTTATTTTTGAAGAGATTTAGTTGACGTTTTTTGTAGAATATCAAATAGAAATGCCATTTTTTTTAATTAAAGACTTCCTGGTAGCGCTACGTGTGGTATATAGGCCCGTAACAGATATTGAATGACGGAAGACAACAACAAACAAAACGAAGACTTGAGTAAAAACAATATATATTGCCAAGTTTATTTTCGTTAAAGAAAACACATCAACAAAAATAAGGTTAGAGTGCACTAGTCAAAAATATCCCAGCATGCTCATGTAGAGGGTTAGAAGACTTGTCCTGAAAAGGACAGTTTTGCGGACGCTGACGAGCGTTGTCCTGAAAAGGACAGTTTTGCGGACGCTGACGAGCGTTGTCCTGAAAAGGACAGTTTTGCGGACGCTGACGAGCGTTGTCCTGAAAAGGACAGTTTTGCGGACGCTGACGAGCGTTGTCCTGAAAAGGACAGTTTTGCGGACGCTGACGAGCGTTGTCCTGAAAAGGACAGTTTTGCGGACGCTGACGAGCGTTGTCCTGAAAAGGACAGTTTTGCGGACGCTGACGAGCGTTGTCCTGAAAAGGACAGTTTATTGATATTACACAACAGTTCAGCATTTATTCTTTTTCTTTGTGATGAAATTTTCCCGTTTCTTAGTCCTTCGCTTTCTTCTCGCTTTCCTTTATTGTCTCATTTTGGAAGTCCTGTATTTATTTCTATGACTGCCATCAGCGCAATAAAAGTAACCTTTTTGTACATATAATTGTTAGTTTCATAGTATTAGAAACTCTTATCTTTCGACTTTCTGTGTAAAAAAAAAAAAAAAAAAAAAAAAAAGAAAAAAAGATATAAAGTCAATGTAAGTAATGACAATCCTGCTGCAGCTGACGAGATCACTTACAATAAATTTGGTTAGGGTCATTTTAATCTTTCAGTTGGATAGAAATGAAAGCAGTTACCCTATTTTCTTGGGCATGCTATAAGGAATTTTGAACGAAAATTAATGGTAAAAAAAGAGTGGGGGGCGTATTATATTGTTATGCGTATTCTTTAGTCCATATATCTTTTGTATTATTAATGATTCAAGAAAACAACAAAACTCCAAATGTGAATTAACAAGTATATATTGAAATAAAATACAAGAAAAAAATATACAATAATTTGTATTCAATGTATAGATTAAGGGAAAAGAAGTTGCTTCCCTTTTAATGTATTTTGATCTGTAATTGATTGTTCGAAAAAAGGTTCTCTTTAGAGAGAAATGTTCAGGAATCAATGTTAGAACAAGTCTACTGTTAGAATAGATAACACAAGAATACAATTGATCAGAAAGTGTGTTGTGTTAGAGAAATCAACAGTCCTGGTTGATTGAACTTGGCTGAGTCACAGAGATATGTATATATGTATTACAAAATTCTGTGTGCGTTTGAAATGTTGTG